ATCAATTTATTTTTCCCCGTTTAAAAAAGCCCTGCCTGGGAAAAATAAAAAGCACAAGCAAAATTTAAAAAAAACCAAAAAACAGGACCTTTGTTCAAGGAGATTTTTCTTTTTTCCGAAACTTTGAATTTGTTTAAGATAGGCAAAATTCCCCTTATTAAATTTTTTTCTTTTTGGGGGAAATATTTTTTTCCATTTTTTGTACCGGAAAATTTTCCTTTTTAATTCCAAACAAAAGAACAGATTCTTTTCCATTTTTTCCCCCGGGGCAAAATTTTTTTAAACATGAAAATTAAAATTGGGTTAAAACCCAAATAAAAAACACCAGCAAAATTTAAAATTTTTTTAACCCCTTTTTTACACAGTTGTTTAAATTTCCCCCAACAAAAAAAAAATAAAATTTTAGAATTTTTGGCACAATTTTTTATAAACCAAGTTTGTTTTCTGGGAATTCACCCAATTAACAAGAACTGATTTCCTGTTAACCAATCGCAAGAATAAGGGCCCGAACCCAAAAAGGTAAAGTAAAAAATAAAATTTAAACATTTTTTTTAAAAAATTCCCAAAATAAAAAAAATATTTTTGGGTGTAAGGAACAAAAAACCCCATAAGCATTTTTTGCATGTTTACTTAATTCACTGTTACGCAATACTGACCACAAGCTCTGACTAATGAATACAGCTGTATCAATGTTATGATAGGAAACCCTATAGTTATTATCTGGGATTAATCATTGAATTTCGTTTTAAAAGGCATGATAAAATATTCTTGGATTTTAAAACAACAGACTTGAGTTGAGTAAATTATTGAATTAATATAATTATTAAGAAAATATTAATGTGATAATACTGATATGATTTAATACCACATTAAGCATATATTGAACAATTAATTGTTGTGTTAACTGGTAAAATAGTGATATATGACTGTGATTGAACATAAAAATATTACAAATCTATGCAATAAAGTTACATGCAAACAAATTGAAACAATACAGCAAAGGAATTTACAATCTGATAAAACAAATACTAAATGTTTAAGCATAGAAAGGTACCAACAAATAACAAATGATTTTTAAAAACTAAAAGAAATTCATACTACAACTTTATAAATAACAAAACAGAAACAGTCTATATGGAAAGTGGCTTTGAAATTAAAGCTTTATCTCATATTCCTTAAAATTAAGGAACATTGACTAAGAAAAAAAAACTCATATTCCTTAAAATCAAGGAACATTGACTAAGAAAAGAATTTCAACTCGTTGAAAATTATCACCTTACAATTAAGGTGTATTTTACTAAAATAATATTTAGCATTAAACAATTACCTTACAACTAAGGCACATTTAACTAAAGTATTCCTTACAATTAAGGACTTTAACAAACTGTTAATTATTAGGGACTTTACGACTAAAGTCGAATAAACCACCTTAAAATTAAGGCGTATTTTACTAAAATAATATTTAGCATTAAACAATTACCTTACATTACAACTAAGGCACATTTAACTAAAGTATTCCTTACAATTAATTACTTTAAGAAAAACTGCTAATTCTTTAGGGACTTTACGACTAAAGTTGAATAAACCACCTTAAAATTAAGGCGTATTTTACTAAAATAATATTTAGCATTTAACAATTACCTTACCACTAAGGCACATTTAACTAAAGTATTCCTTACAATTAAGGACTTTAACAAACTGCTAATTCTTAGGGACTTACGACTAAAGTTGAATAAACCACCTTAAAATTAAGGCGTATTTTTACTTTAAACAATTACCTTACAACTAAGGCACATTTAACTAAAGTATTCCTTACAATTAAGGACTTTAGCAAACTGCTAATTCTTAGGGACTTTAACACTAAAGTCGAATATAACCACCTTAAAATATAAGGCGTATTTTACTAAAATAATATTTAGCAGTAAACAATTACCTTACAATTAAGGCACATTTAACTAAAGTATTCCTTACAATTAAGGACTTTAGCAAACTGCTAATTCTTAGGGACTTTACAACTAAAGTCGAATAAACCACCTTAAAATTAAGGCGTATTTTACTAAAATAATATTTAGCAGTAAACAATTACCTTACAATTAAGGCACATTTAACTAAAGTATTCCTTACAATAAAGGACTTTAGCAAACTGCTAATTCTTAGGGACTTTACAACTAAAGTCGAATAAACCACCTTAAAATTAAGGCGTATTTTACTAAAATAATATTTAGCAGTAAACAATTACCTTACAATTAAGGTACATTTAACTAAAGTATTCCTTACAATTAAGGACTTTTAGCAAACTGCTAATTCTTAGGGACTTTACGACTAAAGTCCAATAAACCACCTTAAAATTAAGGCGTATTTTACTAAAATAATATTTAGCAGTAAACAATTACCTTACAATTAAGGCACATTTAACTAAAGTATTCCTTACAATTAAGGACTTTAGCAAACTGCTAATTCTTAGGGACTTTACAACTAAAGTCGAATAAACCACCTTAAAAATTAAGGTGTATTTTACCCTAAAATAATATCTAGCAGTAAACAATTACCTTACAATTAAGGCACATTTAACTAAAGTATTCCTTACAATTAAGGACTTTAGCAAACTGCTAATTCTTAGGGACTTTACGACTAAAGTCCAATAAACCACCTTAAAATTAAGGCGTATTTTTACTAAAATAATATTTAGCATTAAACAATTACCTTACAATTAAGGCACATTCAACTAAAGTATTCCTTACAATTAAGGACTTTAGCAAACTGCTAAATCTTAGGGACTTTACAACTAAAGTCGAATAAACCACCTTAAAATTAAGGTGTATTTTACTAAAATAATATTTAGCAGTTAAACAATTACCTTACAATTAAGGCACATTTAACTAAAGTATTCCTTACAATTAAGGACTTTTAGCAAACTGCTAATTCTTAGGAGCTTTACAACTAAAGTCCAATAAAACCACCTTAAAAATTAAGGCGTATTTTTACTAAAATAATATTTAGCATTAAACAATTACCTTACAATTAAGGCACATTCAACTAAAGTATTCCTTACAATTAAGGACTTTAGCAAACTGCTAATTCTTAGGGACTTTACAACTAAAGTCCAATAAACCACCTTAAAATTAAGGCTTTATTTTACTAAAATAATATTTAGCATTAAACAATTACCTTATAACTAAGGCACATTCAACTAAAGTATTCCTTACAATTAAGGACTTTAGCAAACTGCTAATTCTTAGGACTTTAAACACTAAAGTCGAATAAACCACCTTAAAATTAAGGCGTATTTTACTAAAATAATATTTAGCAATGAACAATTACCTTACAACTAAGGCATATTTAACTAAAGTATTCCTTACAATTAAGGACTTTAACAAACTGCTAATTCTTAGGGACTTTACGACTAAAGTCGAATAAACCACCTTAAAATTAAGGCGTATTTTACTAAAATAATATTTAGCATTAAACAATTACCTTACAACTAAGGCACATTTAACTAAAGTATTCCTTACAATTCAGGGCTGTAACAAACTGCTAATTCTTAGGGACTTTATGACTTAAGTCGAATAAACCACCTTAAAATTAAGGCGTATTTTTACTAAAATAATATTTTAGCATTAAACAATTACCTTACAACTAAGGCACATTTAACTAAAGTATTCCCTACAATTAAGGACTTTAACAAAACTGCTAATTCTTAGGGACTTTACAACTAAAGTCGAATAAACCACCTTAAAATTAAGGCATTATTACCTCCTAACTATTTAAATTCATAAATGTATAATAACAATAATGGATGCAAGAACATTATATAAAAAAAAAAAAAAAAAAAAAAAAAAAAAAAAAAATATTTCACTAGCAATTTTCAAGTAAATGTGCAAACATAGTCCTTACAATAATTTGATAATATATAACTATCACATTAAACCACAATTCATATCAGTCCCCAAGTTCACTTTGGGACTAAGATGTAAGGTAAATAATTGTCTTCTTCACTTGAGATCCAGGAAATTTCACTTTTCACTTGTTGGTATGTACTTATTATGTAGTCGATCCGGAATATTGGCATGTTATCTGCTATACCCTAAAATCCGCTACTGCCTAAACAACTGTATCTCCTGTATCTCTGGTATAAATAACGTGGCCTAGGTCTGAGAATAAACTGCAACACCACAATGTTGTATCAAACTTGAAATGTAGCGAAAATGTTGACTATTCACAAAACAAGAAGTTCCAGTGATGCACTAGTGAAACAATATCGTTTCCACCTAATTGTACGATAAAGCATTTTGGATGCAGTTCTGATACACTCAGTTCTCAACAGTTACCGTGGTGTTTATTGTAAATCTTTCCTCCATTTATACTTCGAAAATGTACATCTGGGGCCGGGCTAGCATCGCCACCAACATTAAAGATTTGTTATTGTTACCCTTTTGTCGAAGAAATCGTTCCAACCAGTGTATATGAGATGTTCCTAATATTAGTATAGACATTTTACTAACATAAAATTGAAGAGTTAATCATCCACCGGTGTTTTAAACACATTATGCAGTAATCCAATCGCAAAACGTACTGTAGACACAGATTCCTTTGTTTACAAAAATGTGAAAACAAAGACAGTCAAAAATACCAAACTGTGGGCAAACATTCCTACAGTGTTAGCTATTGCCGGATAAGTTGTAACCTTCCTGGACTAATGAGCGATCAAACAAAGTATAAGTACCGTGTATATAAAAGCAATTTATTGAAAATTGTTTATGAATTATTTCTTCTTCTAAAATGGCGGACTTAATCCGCATCAATTATCACATTGTACTTACTCATAACGATAACCTTAGTGTACTTACTAGTACGGCTTTTTCGAACCCAATATATTTCGACCTATGACTAAAAACCTAATGGAACCCACCATCAAGCTTGTAAGTGACCATAAAAACATTTATTTTGCAATAAATTAAGTTTTATTTCTCCTTTCACATCATTTTTTTCGACTATACAACATGCACAACTTGAAGGTGAAAGTATTGTGGAAAAGGCCTTTAGAATCATTCTATTCAAAAAGACTTTATCATATCTGTTTACTAAGAAACTTATATATTGTAATCACACAGAATAAAGCAAGAAGTCTGCCGGTCAAGTTGAAGACATTCTCTTTCTCAGACTGTGGAGGACCTAACGCATTGATAAACTTAAACCAAATTGAAGTCACACCAGACCCTCTGGACTTCCCTGGTCCTCTCAATGTCGTGGCGAACTTTAAAATCAACAGTGATGTAGGGTCACCGATGGTGGTAAGGTGTAATTCTGATAAAATTATACACTTATAATTGTTAAAATTACATGTTGAGTATAAGAATAATATGCTTCCCATTCCAATTACAAAAAAAAACAAAAACAAATAGACAATTTCTAATTTGAGATCGCAAATATTTTTTTGTTTGTTTGTTTGGTTGGTAAGTTCTATCTTTATTATTATAAAGTAATAAATTAATTACGATAGAAAAAGTACGAAAAAAATTTATATGACCTTCTATTTTGACATAAAATGATTCTTTCCAGGGCGATGTATTAATTGAAAAGAAAGTCTTTGGAAAGTTTGTGAAAGTTCCATGTATTGACAACTTTGGTTCCTGTCATTACCCTGACTTTTGTGAACTTCTAGAACAGGTTCAGTGCCCTGACCCCATTAAGAGAATTGGAATCGATTGTACATGTCCATTGAAGGCGATAGGTTATTAATAAAATTAATTTTCAAAACCCGTGACAATGTCTAATACTTAAAAACAACTGCTAACTGAAAGCATCAAGGTATGCATATATATCATTACGCTTTAAAGTAAACAATATATTGTAATGATTATACTAAATTGTATATTTTTATCCTTACACGTGAATCACATGTGTTCTTTAAGACAATTATTGTTATTTTCATTTTATATACAAGAGGCTTCTTAAGGAAAAAAAAACAACAGAAAGATGTAATTTTATATTATTATACTAAATGTACTTTCATTTTTCTGCAGAATTCTTACATGCTACCGAAGACGGAATTTGATATCGTGGCAAGCGTTATTCCGACTGGAGATTATCACGTCAGGGCAAACGTAACGTACACGGGAAAAGAAGCGGCATGTCTTGACCTGATGCTTTCATTCGAATAGATAATATAGACTAATTCCGCAATAAAGATTATTTGTTTTTTTTTCCACCCAGCTAATTCGTACTTTTACAGCTACAGCTTCGAAAATAAGCGCAACAGTTTGACTAATCTATTGTAACGGGTAAATTGCATATTGACCCTATAACGGTAAAAGTCTGTTTGTACCAATGGATTAGCTGGGAAATACCCACAATAACCGAGTTCGGGTTTAAACCATTCTTATATAGCAAAACGGTTATCAGCGTTTGTTTATACTGTATTAGTTAATTAATGATAATTATGTACTAGAATCGAAATATAAGCTTTTTCATTATGTATTTATGTTCTAAGTAATAATACTTATATCATTAAATCATCCGCATTACCAAAAGTGGTTATGTCTTTTTATGTTTTTACGGTATTTTAATGCTGATGGGAAAATTATTTTGATATGTAAATTGGTTATTTTTTATAACTGTCTTGAGGCAAACGTCTAGATATTGCATTTATTTATAGCTTACTCAATAGTTTAACATATATCTTCCCGTAATAATGTAAGATTTATTACAAAGACAGAATAGTTGCCTTATTTTGTTTGCATCTATCATTTTGTCAGCTCTATTTAGCTTTCAAAATGTAATAGCTACTTTTAAAAGCATATGAAAAGTTATAGTACAGGAAAATAACAGGTGATGTAAATGTCACTGTGTTGTCATGACTGAACTTTGTGCTTGTTACGTCTTCTCTTGCAATGAAGTCAAGTTACTGCATGTCCAGACGAAGATAATAAATAAACATCTGAATAAATAAATATTAAAAACATAATGCATATTATATCAGTCAGTGTTCGTTAAACTTTCGTCCTCGACCTTTTTGTTGCAAAGGCTGTGATTTAATATTTTGTTTTGTATAATTACACGAATTCAAAAGTAATAGAATTTAAAGCTACATATATTAAAGACCAGTTTAATTGTGATCTGCATATCAACAGTATGTATCTGGAAAAGTTTCAGAAAAATATATTAACCAGTCATAATGTCACTATTTTAAACTCAGAAATGGGTAAAAATCAAAATCATGTCACGAGGAGCAAAACGAAAATATAAAAACAATATTGAATATGAAGATAAAAATACGATTACAAACGCAAAGATAACGCCAATTACTAATAGTAGTCAAAGAAATATGTGAAATAATTGTGCACCTTCTGTGAAAAGCATGAAACTTGGCAAAGTGGCAGGAAATAGTATTTCAATTTATTTTAGCCTGGTATCCACTTTTTAAAAGTCCAAGATGGCCGCCAAAATCCAGGCCGGCCGCCAAAATGTACATTGTACATGGGGCATGACAAAATGGAGTTCAAAATGTACATTGTTCATGGGGCATGGCAAAATGGAGTTTTTTATGGCTTTAAAATGATATAAATTGACATTGTCGGTCAATAATAGATATATCTTGGAGAGTGGCTTCAAATTCCAAGATGGCCGCCATTAATTGACACTTTTTGGACAAATTTCCATGATTAAGATAATTCATATGATCAACACTCTCCATACATATAACACAATAATAAACTAGCATTTCTTGCATAAATCTGCACACACAGGTGCACACTTACACAGAAAAAAACTTAAAGGTTAAAGGTAAGTGGCATTTATGGATAAAACCATGGGGGCACACGATTATTTAGATGATGTTTTGAAGAATATGGACGCTAATGTACACAAATGGCATCAGCCAATGTTTTGCATGCAAGTTTGTTTTGTAAAAATTACATAATGGAATAGGTTAAAACCTAATGCACTTATTTGCGAGCATAATAGGTCACTGTCAAAGGTCAATAACTTTATCACAGATTTTGATGGATTTATGGCCCTTGCCTTTTAACTATGTACTTGTTCAGCTATCAAGCGCTGAGAACAGTCAAGTACTCTATGATGTCATACCAGTAGATCTGATGTGCGTGATTATGACAGCATAGAAACCGCTGATTGCAAAGACGGCCCCAGTTGTCTTAATATCAAAAAAATAAAACACAAGTGCGTCAAAATCAACAGGAAACCGTTTCGTTATGCAAAAAACAACATATCGTAGAATCACTAAATTTGTCGAATACTTCTATCTAAGAATGACTCTAACACAGGTTTTTGTGCATCAACATCTGCAGAAGTTAAATTCTGACCCTGTAGGACAAAGGCTTTAAATGTGTCCTCTTGCTTATGAAGATGTTAATGCACAAAAAGGGTGAATAAATCCTCTATTGTATTGTACATGTATATTTTAGTGCACACATGCACACAATTTCTTAGCTTATCCGAACCAAATGTTCAGTATGAAGTGTTGCGGGAGGTAAGGGGTTCTTCGAAATCCTGTCTCCCATATTATTAAATGAATTCAGTATGCAGCATCCTTGTGATCGTCAAACTGCAGCTGCAAGTCTTTTTCCATTAGTAATGTTAGCAGCATATTTTTTGGTCAAAGATAACGGAATCACGCTCTTTTTTGTTATTATTTTGGCAAAGTCTTGTGAATAAATTAGAAAATCAGACAAATATTGAACAAAAAGAAAATATTGGCCTTTTTGGTAATAAAAACTAAGTGTTTGGCATTTTTAACTCTAGTCATTTGTGACTTAATATGAGATCAAATTAAGACTTTACAACTGATTTCTCATTTTTGATAATTTTATGAGATTCCGTCTGTAAGATTGAACTATCCACTTTCTGACTACTGTGAATGTCGGGGCTGCGTTCAAGGGGCAACGCTCTTATATTTCTTGTAAATTTCTTCTTTTATATTTTATTGTAGTTGAAATGCACGATAAAGCCTTTCATAAGCATATGTTTTTCCTGATATTACAAATGGTTGCTTTTTTGGATTTCAAAAACATATAAACAAGAAGCATGACAATGCCAGGAAACCAGGTTTTCAATTATCACCATTGTAGATAAATATGTTGTAGCTGAAATACAATTACAAGCAACAAACAATGTAACTATGTGCAATGTAAATCATGAATAATGTAGGAGGAATTGCACAAAGAAGAAATTGTTCACTATATGTATTTTGTATAACGAAATAAAACAAAGGGTCATAATTAGGTAAAAAATTATCCAATCACATAACCCGACAATATGCGCCAGGGCACTTGATCACAAAGGTTCTGTGAAAGAAATTGTTCACTATATATTCTATATAACAAAAAAAAAACAAACAAAAAAAAACAAAGGGCCATAATTAGGTCAATTATTATCCAATAACGAAACGCCGACAACATGCGCCAAGGCACTTAATGATGTGAAAGTTTGGTCAAAATCTGTTGCACAGAAGAAATTGTTGACTTTATATCCTATATAAGGAAAAAACAAAGGGTCATAATTAGGTCAAATATAATCAATTCACAAAACCCCTAAAATGTGCTCCAGGGCACTTGATGTCAAAGGTTCTGTGAAAGTTTGGTCAAAATCAGTTGAGAAATATAGGAGGAGTTGCGCAAAGAAGAAATTGTTCACTATATATTCTATATAAGGAAAAAAAGCAAAGGGCCATAATTAGGTCAAATATTATCCAATCACAAAACCCCGACAATATGCACCAGGGCACTTGATGACAAAGGTTCTGTGAAAGTTTGGTCAAAATCCATTGAGAAATGTAGGAGGAGTTGCGCACAGATGAAATTGTTTATGCCCACCCGTCCGCCGGCCGGCCCACCCATCCGCCTGCCAACATACCTTAATCTAATAACCAGATTTTTCCTTCGGAAAACCTGGTTAAAAACTTTAGCAAATTATAAATCTAAAAACTGTTGTTGTTAACTTCGATTAAATGATTTTTGTTTGTTTACTTCTTTCTACAACTGTCATAAAAGTACCGTACACAAGAACTAGTGAAATCGTGCCTACATGAGGTTTTAATTGTTTGTTGAAAAAAATGTAGCTTTTTTATTTTCATTTTCATAGTTCCTAGAACCACAGTGACTATGATCATTATAAAACTTAATTGACCTTAACTGGACCATTATTCAGTACTAGATCAATAGGTGTTAATTATGGATAATGTCATTGTTTTACTTTCTTTTACTGATCAGTTTCAGTTGATAATACTTAAAAACAGTACCTTGCTCAATTTAGTCTGAATACGACCGGATGTTATCAAGTCTTACATTTATATAAACATTTTAAGGACCAATTTGAATATTGGGAGTACTTGAGTATTTTATGTAGAATAAAATCCTGATCTGTTATTACGAAGTTTAGGATATCCACACATAGCCTTATGATTGAGATCAGAATAGAGTTGAAAGCGCATGCAATATATGTCAATCTAGAGACATTGAGGACGAATTCCATATGATATGTGTGTGTCCCTGCTACCGACCTTCTTTGTTATATGTACAACAGCTACTGTTTTTGTCAATATTGTATTATATAATTATATCATTTGTCTTTGACACAATAATGAACAACCATGTTATGGATAAGGGGCGAAATGTTCAAATCTAGAAAAAAATTATGCTCTGTTCTGTTCAGTTAATATTAAAATATATCAATATTTCTAACATTTTCTGCAATTTACTCGCTTAGTATCCAGAAACAATTTT